TTTTATTAATATTGCATGTATACTTTTAAAGTTATAAGAATTGTATAAAAGCTGTATTTTCCTGCCTGTGATAATTACATTAACCCATTGTGTACAGTAATTCTATCACAGCCAGAGGGGAGGATTTTGCTGGAATGAAAGGGGAGTGTTTAACTGCATTATACGTTGTTGATTGCATAGGCGTGCGCACGGGGTGTGCCTGGGCACACCCTAATCCCCGCGGCACACAGGATTGAGTCCTGCAAGAACAGGTTTTTTTGAGCAGAAACGCTGTTCCTGCAGGCACTCAGCGCCCCCAAATGCCCCCCTTGCTCCCCCATGTTGCCCCTGTCATGGGGGGGGCAAGAGGTGATGGATCCCCCCCCTCTCTCCATCTCAGCCGCGGTGAGGGAGCTGTGTGCTCTCTGCTTCCTCTCGCCGCGCACCATTTGCTGATGCCGGGAGCCGGACAGTCAGCTACTGTAGACAGCCCGCGAGTCGAGAGGAAGCAGAGAGCACAGGCTGAGATTGAGATAGGCGCCCACCCCACTGGACCCCAGGGACAAGTCCACGCCAGCACTCCAGGTAGGGAGGCTGGGTGGACATTTTTTTATTAAAAAATAATAATTTGTATGTGTGAGTGTCTGTGAATGTGTGTGTATATGTGTATGTGAATGTGTGTGTGTGTCTGTATGTGTGTGTGTGTCTGTGAATGTATGTGTGTGTGTGTCTGTATGTGTGTGTGTGTGTGTGTCTGTGAATGTGTGTGTGTCTCTGAATGTGTGTGTGTGTCTGTGAATGTGTGTGTGTGTGTCTGTGAATGTTTGTGTGTCTGTATGTGTGTGTGTGTGTGTCTGTATGTGTGTCTGTGTGTGAGTGTGTGTCTGTGAATGTGTGTGTCTGTGTGTGTATGTGTGTCTGTGAATGTGTCTGTGAGTGTGTGTGTACGCATATATATATATGTATATATATATATATATATACACACACACATGAGTGTATATTATTTTTTGGGGGGGGTGGGAATCTTGGGAGAGTTCCCACACATTATTTCACAGGACTTGTACCCTGCCGGCAGGGGAGATCTCCCCTGTCGGCTCACGCAGAGCTGGCACTATCTGAGTGCCGGCTCTGCTCTCAGCCTCCATGGGCCAGCGGGGAGACCAAAGATCTACCTCACCGGCCCACAGCAGCATGGAGGGAGGCAGGAGAGGACCCAGGGAGCTCTAGACAGCAGCTCCGTCAGGTTCCTCTCGCGATATCAGAGCGTTGCCGCGGCAACGCTCAGATCTCGCAAGAGTTAACTCTAGCCCCGCAGGCTAGAGTTCACTCTCCACTGGACCACCAGGGATGGCACATGGCAGCAAGGATCCCCCCTTCCTACATAAGGTCAGAAGGGAGGGGGGATAGCTACTAATCTGCCCCCACCTCCACAATCCCTCCAAACATACAGCACACACACACATACAGCACCCACAGCACCTACACACATACAGCTCACACACAGCACGCTCACACACAGTACACTAACCGCACCCTCACAAACACACACAGCACCTTTAAAAAAAACACAACACCCTAACAGCACCCTCACAAACACACACACACAAACAGCACCCTCACAAATACACAACACTCACACAAACAGCACCCTCACACACACAGCACCCTCACAGGACAAACACACACAAACACCCTCACACACAAACAGCACCGTCACAAACACACACACACACAAACACCCTCACACACACATCACACTAACAGCACACACAGCACCCTCACACAGCACACTAACAGCACACACAGCAGTGTATGTATGTGTGTGTGTGTATATATACACACACATATACATGCGGCGTGTGTTTGTGCTTTAGGGTGCACACCCTAATGCAATAGGCTGCGCACGCCTATGGTTGATTGGTTGCAAAGTGTACAGTTTCAGTGCCCCACAAGATCCACGTGGGTGGTAACCTTGCTGGGAAACTTGTATATAAGCAGGAATAAACGCTCATTGGAATCAGTTCTACCTCATCTTTAATTTCGAGTCCTGTCTCTTATTGGGGGAAGCTGCTACAAGGGATTGCTATGTTGTGCATATTCCCTTGCTATAATCACTACTAAGCTCTTTTAAGAGCTTGTTCCCGTGTTACTCTCTTGAAAGAGAGGTTTACCTACTTGAGCCTGGAGCCTTGTCGTAGGTCCAGGGTGGGTAAGAGACGCCGAGACCACAACCAAGCTACAGCGGTTCGTGGGGTCTGCGGTTGTTGTGGTGTCTGGCGGAGCGCTTGGTGCCCTCTGGAAGCGCTAGGAGCATCCAGTAACAGAGGTACCCAGTTGGGGTGCCAGGCGGTCCGTTACAGGAATGTGGAGCCGATAAATCGATAATGAGACTTTTTTTATTTGAGAATTTCCCTGTGGTGATACCTATCGGGTTGGTGCGCCAGCAAGAAAAAGGTGGGTAAAAAAAAAAGGTCCCAGTATGAAGCCATTGTCTAGCTCTTTTTTGATCAAAGCATCTGTGTTTAGGGGGTCTAGTATTGCTGACTGTTGGTTGAGACATTCGTGAGTGCCAGTAGGGAGTGCTATAATGCCTGTGTGGAAACCTTCGGTGAAACCCTGGACCAAGAAGTCTACTAAGTGTTGAGATGGGTGTGCCTGGAGATAGTATGCCAGGTTGTCTATTTTTACTTCGGTCAGTCACTGCTTAGGATACAGATGGTTAGGGCACATGGTTTTGGTGTGAGCCCTATAACAAATTGAGCAGACGTGCAGAAATCCTCACGAGCTAAATCCGCAACTGCCTGAATTGAAATTGTTGCAGATCTGTGCCTTCTATAGATATATTATGGGCCTGCCCAATTTGTCTTTGAGACCTCTGTGTTCTGTGGCTGAGGAGCCGAAGGGTGCACGACTGGTGGTGGGGAGACTTGGATCCACTGGACACTGGTTGGTGGAGTGAGATACAGAGGCACATATGGCGCAAGAAGCGGGTTTTAGTCCGGCGAAGTGGCGACAGAATAGTTCAGTGTCAAGCCTACTCCAGCTGTGAATGTTGAATTGTGCCAGGGACGCTACTGCTTCGGCCGAAAAATATTTGTGGTAGTCGTAAAATGTGAAACCTCCGTACTCCCAGACCCACAAATTTGTGTAAGTATAGGTGCAATTCTTCACTACGGTGAGGTGAAGTGGAGCAAATTACGTCATGGTATAGTCCGAAGGCGAGTACGAATTCAGGGATAGTGAGTTTGCGATTATGTCTGGGGTCTCCGGCTTTTAGTACAACTGACAGATCCCGCAGTAATACGATTTGTGGGAGGCAATTAGCAAGGAAGTCAAATTTACGTCCTTGCCCTCTAGAATGTAATTGCGAACGGTCAGAGGTACTAAGTGCGTGGGAATGATTATATGAGTGGAAGTGCCAGGAGTGGGGTCAAAATTTATGGCATTACCATATGAAGGAGAGGGGGTGGGGAACTCCGTGGCAGGGGAAGGTGTCTGTGGATTCTCCATTTTCTCTAGTCTGACACTAACTGTATTAATGAGCAGAGTTATCATTATGTTCTTAACTTCAGTGAAGTAGTCTGCGTTGGATGGCAGTACTGTGGTACATGACTACGGTGTGCCGGAACTAGTGGTTAGGAAGCGGTATAGTTCTGCTTTGTGGGCGTTGGCTGGGAAGGAAAAGCCTAAACGTTTCAGTGCACTGGCGAGTTTAGGGATAGTCCATGAATGGAGAGAGCCAGGGCTAGCTGATTCTAGATGCTCTGTAGGAGTACTGGGTCCGGGCGGGGTGAGGGGTCTGGCTGGGGTGCCTAATGAGAGTTCTTCGTCATGTTCCGGTACTTGTGATATTTCTACAATACAAGGTGTTGGTGAGTCTTGGACAGAGCATAATTTACCTATTCCAACTGGCTTCTAGCTAAAGTTTAGAGTGAAGAAATTACCTGGCCTAATCGGAAAATGAGGCCCTGCTAATGCCAAGTGGCTTTGAGAGGCTCTACCTATGAGTTGGACCGTTGGGCGGGGACCACTGGTAGACGTGGTGGGAGCGTTGGCCTTTCTGTGACTTTAAAATAGACTATGAGAGGGAGCACAAGGCCCTAACTATACACCTGTAGAGGTTGATGAGAGGTGTTATCTACATACTGGGCTGAGGGGTGATTAAGGATGGGTGCAGGCTTCACTGGACTAGTTTAAGTTATGATTAACTAAGGCCATCAATTCCTAATGACACAGCCAATTGGAGTAGCCCTACTAGCGATAGGAGTGGAAGTTGGGTTGGGGTGGGGTGCGGGCTTGAATTGCCCTGGATTCAAGGGAGATTTACCTTGTTCGCGTGAACTGCTGGATGTGAAAAAGGGTTGACTGATATTTGCAGGAGTACCTGAGGAGAATATGGGATAATATGGATGGACCAGGTCATATATATATATTAGTGAGACTAATATATAATAAGAACAAGAATATGGGATAATATGGATGGACCAGGTCATATATATATATTAGTGAGACTAATATATAATAAGAACAAGAGGTAAGGGCTGCACCAAAAGTCTAGTAATAATCAATATGCAATAAGAGACAGCCCGACTGGTCTAAATAGTGATACAATAGTAAGTTAAAAAATCTCACTAAAATGATAAAATAGGGGTGCTATCCTCAGGAGTTGATGCATCCGCATAGTAAAATATTCGTATAAAAGTCTCACTAATATATAAGGATAAAATAAGGGTGCAATCCTCAGGAGTTTTTTTTTTTTTTTTATTCTTTATTTTTGTTGTGCGGAAGTTTATAACATTCACATGTGAGGTACCCCAAAGGCAATCCTCTAGCGCATGAAAACAGTTAAACATAGAGGTACATGATAGAACAAGCACATTTTTTTTTTTTGTTTAGGCTATAAACAGTATGGATTTGTGTTGCTTAGGTATTATCTTAATATAAACATAAAATTGCTAACGTTAGAACATCGACTTTAGTGTAAGTTGCTTTGTACGCAGGCTTGGTTAGTGTGTGTGGTGGTTTAGTATCAACTTGTGCAATGCAGGTATTCAATATTAGGCAAGTAAACAGGGAATTAGAGCATATTAACAAATGATATACAAGGTATTTAAACACCAGCATGGAACATCCTCTTTTTATATATTACGTGAGATAACAATGCAGGTTAAACTACTAGTGTTTGCATGTATATGGAATTTCAAGGCATTTCAGGCATCTTGTTACACTGTGCATTAATTGATTCTTGTATTACAGGCTTCATAAATACAATTCTAGTAGAGTGAAACATATATAGGGTTACTATAGCTGGATCCTAGAACTGTAGGTGGCAGCGAGGGTACGATCCATCAAGTGATTAGAGCTATAGCAGGTATTCAATTGGTTCTTTTGCTTAAACTATGTTAACACTTGCTGGATGACAGTGGTGACTGAACTAAGACGTTTTACAACTAATAGAGGCAACAACATCAGGAGGGGTTTTGCTAAACATAGATATTACCCTCCTGTGGAGCTAGCCTTACAGTCATTCGGTATATAGTATTAATGAGAGTGGTGTTGTTCAGGGTTCACAATTAGCTAGGACAGAATACCTTAAAACTACCACATAGGAGAACAGTAGTATACATGCTACCAACCTAGGCTTAGGTTAAATCAAAACTATTAAAACTAAGCATGTAAATATCCTAATCTGGTGATATAACTATGCAGTGCTATTTCCAAAAGTGTGTCCAGAAATGCATACATTTGTGTGTTGAATAGTCATAGAAACCTGTGTGGGTTTGAGTTGGTCTATACATATTCATGCTTAATGTGTGGTCGCTTGATCTCGAGGAATACCTCTCTTTGGTCCCCTAATGGAGCTGTCAGGAGGAGTGAAAAGTGTTAGTGGCATACAGACAGTTGTGGGGGTTCATCTGGGTCATGGAGGATTTGTAAAACGAAATAAAAATGAAGGAGGGGATGAGTTATTTTCTAGACATTAAGTCCCAGTGCTGTGTGGTTCATCCGATGCCTTGTAGGGGCTGGGTGTGCTCCCCCTGTGCTGTCTGTCGCGGCTGTGCTTTGATCTGCGGTCCCCTCTGTTCAGCGATGTATGGGTAGAGTGTCTGAGCGTGGGCCAGCATCTGCAGTGATAGGTATGATGTGGCTCCGATATTGGGCCTTGTCCATCTGCGTGTTTGTTGGCTATATCTGTGCCCTGGGCGTCGTGTTATCGCGGCCCCCCTGGTGAGCACAGTGGTCTGCTTTTTGTTGGCGTGAGTGGGGTGGTCTGTACCTTTCTTAGGCTGTTTCATGGCTGGGCGGTGAGGCTGGGTTTTGTGCCGCCGTCTTACTGCAGTGCCTCCAGTTCGGTTTGTCTTGGTACGGCTGTAGTCGCTCTTAGTGAGGCGTCGGGTCTCCGCTAGTAGGGCGGTCTCTCTATAGGGCCCGGGAGGGTAGCCGTCGGTATATGCTGGGGCCACCTCCGGGGTCTTTCGTGCGGGTTCTCGTGACTTGCTCTCCGGCTTGTTCTCAGGCTCCAGGGGCCACGCTAGTTTCCCCAGTTGCTCCCAAAAGGAGTCAAAGATGCGGGCGAGCCGGCGCTCTGTGTCTCGTCTGGCCTCGTGAAGGGCTGAGGCATGTTTGCCGTCCGCCATTTTGTCGGCCTTGTCCGCAGCCTCCACACCGCGCTGTTGTTTCGTCCGCTCATCTCCTTTCAAGGGAACCGTGAGGGATTGGACCGGGATGACCCCCGCCGGTCCAGAGGGGGGGGACGGGCAAGGGCCCTGGGGCCAGCACTTGGCTGGTACAGGCAGCAGGAAAGCGGCCATCCTCCCTGCGCCCGCCAGGCTGGTAGGCCCCATCATGAGTCTGGGTGCATCTGAGGGACATCGTCGCTTGTGTGGTGTCTGTTTGTGCGCCCCAGTGTCGACTGTCGCTTGGTGGCCGTGAGGGGTCATTTTAGTGCCTCTTTGGAGTCTTAATTCGGCTTTGTTTGCCCTAAGTTGCAGGAGCTGGTGAGGCATGCTTCCTCACAGTTCAGCGGTCAGGCCCCGCCCCCCCAATCCTCAGGAGTTGATCCATCCGGATGGTTTAAAATATCTGTATATTTGGAGAGACAAAGGGGAGATATGACAAGCAGCCAATAGTGTAGTACATCAGAATCCAAGGGTAAAAATAGATAAAAAGGTAGTAAACTCACATTTAAAAGAGCTTAAAGGATATAATGGAGTGGTGTGCCCATCAGTCTGGTCTGAATATCTGAGGCTCCAAGGTATATAAGAAACAACAATAGTGCTCTCAGTTGGTAAAAGCATGAGATATAAAATATATATAAAATTATACTCACAAGTGTAGAGCAGAAGTTACTGCTCTATTGTAATAGCGTTGGTGGAATGATCCCCACCTAGGATTCCTTTGAGTTCAGGATCAGTAAAATTGCCAGGAGTAATTATTATATAAAAAAGTGCATATAAAATATGCCTTGAAGAAGCATTGATAGGTGAGACGCGTTAACACACACACACACTCTGAGGGGAAAAAAGTATTTGATCCCCTGCTGATTTTGAATGTTTGCCCACTGACAAAAAAATGATCAGTCTATAATTTTAATGGCAGGTGTATTTTAACAGTGAGAGATAGAAAAACAACAAGAAAAATATCCATAAAAATGCATGTCAAAAAAGTTATACATTTATTTGCATGTCAATGAGTGAAATAAGTATTTGACCCCTTCAACTTAGTATTTGGTGGCAAAACCCTTGTTGGCAATCAGAGAGGTCAGATGTTTCTTGTAGTTGGTCACCAGGTTTTCACATATCTAGGGATTTTGTCCTACTCCTCATTGCAGATTCTCTCCAAGTCATTAAGCTTTGGCAACTCGAACCTTCAGCTCCCTCCACAGATTTTCTGTGGGAATACGGTCTGGAGTCTGGCTTCTTCTTGAGCCACTCCTATGTTGCCTTGGCTGTGTGTTTTGGGCCATTGTCATGCTGGAATACCCATCCACGACCCATTTTCAATGCCCTGGCTGAGGGAAGGAGGTTCTCACCCAAGATTTGACTGTACATGGCCCCATCCATTGTCCCTTTGATGCTGTGCAGTTGTCCTGTCCCCGCAGAAAAACACCCCCAAAGCATTATGTTTCCACCTCCATGTTTTATGGTGGGGATGGTGTTCTTGGCAACATGCCTCCTCTTCCAAACACAGTGATTTGAGTTGATACCAAAGAGCTTGATTTTGGTCTCATCTGGCCACAACACTTTCACCCAGTTCTCCTCTGAATCATTCAGATGTTCCTTGGTGTGACGGACTGCCTGGCACCCCGACCAGGTGCCTCCGCCAATCGATGCTCCTAGTGCTCACTGAGGACTCCAAGCACTCCACCAGACCCTTAGATGCTGCAGCTTGGCTGGGGTCTCCCGTCCTCCACCCACCCTGGACCCTAGACCAGGATCCAGCTTCCAGTGGGTGAACCTCTCCTACTCCAGAGAGTATAGCAGGAACAGCTCTTATAAGGGCTAGTGATTAAAACGGGAGTATGATGAGTACAGCAATCCCCAGAGTGAATATAGCTTTCCCCTCCAAACATGAGACGAGGCTCTATGTTGAGGGTGAAGAGGAACTGATTTTAATGGTGCCACACTTGTCCTTATATGACAATCCCCATGCAAGGTGTACGCCCACATGAACCTGATGGTAGACTGATTTACAAAGTCACAGACCAATAACAATAAGGTTACAAGGCACGACACTCCCACACACAGCACAAAATCCCTCCCCTCTGCCTGGGAGATAATTGAGTCAGATACTGTATTAACTCAATTATCTCCAGGCAGAAAAAACACATATTTCTAAAAAAAAACAAAAGTACCCCAAAAACACATAAAATGCCCACAAATGTTACATTCCATGATAGCCCTGATCTGGGTGACCAACATATCCAAAAGTCACCCAGATCAGTTCATGGAATTCTATGGAAGTCATTAATTTGACCGACCGCAGGCATAGTCCCATGCCCAAAACAGTTCCAGAGAATCAGGGTTTGTGGTCGGTCTAGTTCGGTAGTTGGAAAGCGAACAAACTACCAAACAGTCAATAGTCTTACTCTGGAGCTTGTTCCCTTCATCCAGACTAATGATCCCACTGAACAGTGCCTTTCTAACTTGTATAGAACCTAACGCAGGTGATGATGGAAGTCCAGCGGTGTTCGTGAGCTTCTTTGCCCGATTTTAGTTCAATGAGATTCATGCCCAAACACAGCTGCCTGCATTCATGCAAACAAGATGGCCGCCACCTCGTGGTTGTCCATAGGAATTGTGGCCACCCAGACAAACAATTAGAACACTGTGGTGAGAAACGTTCCAAGTTGTTAATAGATGTTAACAAGCTCCAGGATGGTCTCTGGTTCATGCGGTTGTTCGGGAATTCGAAGTACCACTTCGGGAGTTCAAAGTGTAGCCATACATAGTAAAATAAAGGCACAAACCGTGTTTTCAAACAAAGTCTATTACAGGGACCATAGTCACAGGGCAGGAGGCTGGCAAACAGGCTCCTCCAAAAGCCAGCGGCGAGGTTACTTTCGCCACAATTGGCAAACTTCAGACGGGCCTTTCTTGAGCACGGGGACCTTGCGGGGGCTGCAGAATTTCAGTCCTTTACGGCGTAGTGTGTTAACAATTGTTTTCTTGGTGACTATGGTCCCAGCTGCCTTGAGATTGTTAACAATATCCTCCCGTGTAGTTCTGGGCTGATTTCTCACCCTTCTCATGATCATTGAAACTCCATGAGGTGAGATCTTGCATGGAGCACAAGACTGAGGGAGACTGACACTTATTTTATAGATCTACAATCTTGTCCCTGACATCCTTGGACAGCTCTTTGGTCTTGGCCATAGTGGAGAGTTTGGAATCTGATTGATTGCTTCTGTGGACAGGTGTAACGGACCGTTTTGCCCACAAGAGGTTAAAAACCGTTTAGGCGATTTTTCCCTTTCAGATGCACAGACAGCTATTGCAATCACCAATCTTCCGAACTGCAAACTACATGAATTCTCCAACTCCCGAACAGGAAACTCACGAATACTGGAAACAGCCGAACAGGAAAAACCATACGAAAAGTTTACACTCCTGGCAGTCAGCATACAATCCAATTCCCCCAATAACGAGACGACACTTCGTTTTGAGGGTTAAGCAGAATCTGGTTTACTGGGGCTACCTGCCCGGCTTTTATGCAGGTCTCCCCTAGGGGACCAGATGGGAAACTGGGAAACATTTTGGCTCTTAGCCAATCACATACATACACCTTTAAACACTCC